GCAGTGATAACCCATGCAAGTAGAGCGGGAACATGCAAACTCATTACTGAAATGTCAGAGTTGAGAGATTTTTGCTCTTCTAGTGGGCTGGCCCTTCTTCCTATATTTTAGCAATATTGGCGCGTTGTCGGCCTGTCATGATAACTTTTATTTTGCACAATATATTTTCCCAGATGCTATCACGATAAACGATAGTAATTTTTTTAAGAGCAAAAGTGCAATCATCTTTCAATTTTCAAGGATACTGAAAATTTGCATCGAAATGTGGGAGAATAAAATATATTTGATTAAACAAATGTACATAAAAACCGCTCAGCCTCTGTTAAAAAAACGTGCATTTCAACAAATATTAACACAACACATACAACCACACTTGAAGTGTCAGTGGAGTAAAATGAGATGTCTTTTATCTCCTTGTATGTCCTCTTTCCCCTGCTTGTAAAAGTCTGCAATGGCTGTTCGGGAAATACACATTTCGTCGGACAATTTGTACTGCCTAGAAGGTCTACGGTTTGGTTAAAAATAAAGAATGATCACAGGAAGGACTGTCTATTCACATAATCATTATTATCGTCATTATTATTATTGTTGATTGTGTATTGTCGATCCAACCATTATTCCGAGCCGCTTAAACTTCACCAGGATGGCAGGTGTGCTGCAGCCTATCCCAGCAGTGTTTGGGCAGTTTAAAAAAATATATTTTGCTTCCATTGGACAGCAAAAAGTACAATCAGCCAGCTGTGTATCCAACTGTTGCCATTCATCCAACAAAATTAGACTTGGCTCCCTGCAAATATCTCAGCTTTGTGGCCAATTTAACAAACCCAGATTTCACACTGAGTAAGTGCATCCCTTCGAATTTTTTTTTTTTTTTTGATGCACCAGCAAGACTAGCATTAAAACACAGCAAAAACACCATATTCAGTGAGCATCAGTATGCCACTCTATGCTGGGTGGGGTTGGAATTGAGTTTTTTTTTTTTTTTGTCACAAAATTAGGAATCAAAATCATTATTTCTGTTTAAATAGTTTAATTATTTTGGTTTGGTGCTTACCTATGAGATTTTTCTTAAGTAAAATAGTTACCTTGGCTCAGTAGGCTGTTTGCCAACTGATCTAGTCATTACTCTCCTAAATTAAAGACTGAGTTTTAAAATAAGTCTCACATGATGAACATAGATTGACATTTTTATAATCATCATTTATAGAGAACTGCGGTTTGAAAAATGAACACGTGAATGGGCGTAATCTCTCAATGTACCAGAGAACTTGCATTGGAGAGATACGGATTCTCAGCATTGGTCTCGCTTGTCAATTCAGACAGTCGAAATGGTTGCCGGTCGTCAGTCTTTCAATTTGTGGCGCGCGTAGCGCATGCTTGTAGAATCGATAGCGCATAAACAAGCAATGAAATGGTATAAAAAAGAGGACCGTTGCGCTGGCTAGCATTAACACTACTTGGCTTTTTTTCGAGCTGCTGTACCCTGCTGCGCCTTGTTGATAAATGAGAAAAAGAGCTGCACGTGCCTCTAAAAGGACGCGCCACGCGCGAAGCGAACTGAAACTGTCGAACCGAACCGCTGGAGTCCTCGTGTGCATGCGTGCGTGTGAGTGTCATCACTCGCACACAGGCGAGCTGGAAGTAAAATGACTGACAGCAGAGGAAAGGAAGCAGCGCGACTGAATCTTCATGCAGTATGTAAACCAACACGCATGTAAATTTATTGTGGCTGACCCCCCTCCCCCCATCGCTCATTGAGTCAATATAGTAATTACCGTGATGGGCCCAGTTCTGATAAAACTGGAATGGCATCATTTCCTACTGCGGTATCATTTTTATGATACTGTGCGGCACCTTTATTAGCAGCACGCAAGTGTTTCAGCTCATTTAAACCACAGCCACCAAAGGATGCTTCAAAAATAGGCTTTGACAATCTAGTTTCCTCACAAAGTTCAATGACATTCGGCCCTGTGGTTTTATGTAATTGCCCTGACAAACAGATAAGACTCTTCTTCCAACTTAACTACATCGTATATAATTTCCGCTTAACTCGGCAGTGCAAATAACAGCAGATGCATTTCATTTAATGCCCCAGCTATCTGCCTTCCGCTTTATGCAAGAATAAGATGGAAAGTGGCTCCGCAAGACCCATCACTGCTCACAAACAGAAACAGCGGGTTTATAATTACAATGAAGCAGGTCTTCGCTGGTGATAAAAATGCTTATGGGGAAAGTGCCTGCGCCTTCAAGACCACTCAGTTGTTGCACAGTAGATGTTGTTCCAGTTTATTTGAAGCACGGTAGGCAGCTATGATTAAATGAGCAGCCCTGTGCATTATGGCACTTGTGTCCAGTTGCACTCAGTCTTGCAGATTGATAAACTCTGAGTCAGCATCTTTCAGGGGCTGGGAGTATTTCTTTGTCCGTTTCCTCCCCCCGACAACAGGAAACAGGCTGTCATCCCTGCAAGAGACTTGGGAAAGAGGCAGTTGCATCAATGTGTGCGCAACGAAACAGAGCTTGATATGTCACTAGAGATGTCGATGTAACATTTTTTTCAGAAAGCAGCTGAGATGCAGATGTGCCACAGATACGCTGTGTGCAAAACGGCGGGGGACCTTGAGTGGGCTTTGCTGTGGAGTGATACCTCCACTGGGATTTGGCATTTACTGCATGATTGAAATGGCTTTGGGAATGTGATAGATTTAAACCTCAGCAGCCCGTGCCTATTTCCAAAAGACCTCAAAAGTTGTTTGCACGTATCCATCATCTTATAGATAGATTCTGCTTGGATCAGGCCATGAAATATGAGAACCATTTATTTCACGCCTCGACAAATGAGCTTTGTCTGCTCTACAAGAATGCTTGATGAATGTGTGATACAGTTCAGGAGGAGCTTTTTCACTTTGCGACCATTGACAGCAACAAACTGTTGAGGTCAGGCGGGTCTATTGATTCAGCTTCGCACAAATGCAAACTGCATTTCAAGTGTTACGACTTCCGTGTTGTGGAGTAGAGGACAGATCCAAGTGACGCTGGGACAGAAAGGACATGAAATGATGACGGGTGATGCCACGGAAATTTGTCACAGTAGTTTGCATCTGGGGGGTGGAGCTGCCTCCTGAAACGTTTCAACATTGCCGAGTGAAAAAAACATTGCAAAAATGTTGACATGCATTGCTGTCCCAACATATGCGAGGAATGGTTTGGTCCAGTCTTTCATTCATTTCAGTGATGCATTGTATACACAGCAATCGATAGCTTCAGTAATTGGCTTTGGCTCTGGACTCTGGCTTGTGTGTCAATGAATCTCATTGCGTTCTATTGACCCAGCTCTAGTTTTCAGCCTCAGCCCCACTGCACCCTTGTGAACGGGCTTGCTCTGATGAGAACGCCAACGTCTGATGTACGCTTTTATGTCATAATTAGGACATCTTTGTTGATATTTGCTGAACAGACAATCACCAGTTGATCCTTTCCCGTTACAAAATTCTGGGTCGAGAGGAGGTTCACAAAGGCAGAAATAATACAGAATAACAAAGAAGAATTACAAAGGAAAAAAAAATCTTCACTGAAAGTTGTTTGTAGCTGTTGCTTGGTTGAAGTTTATTAAAGTGGGTGGTGGGGGGGGGGGGGATGAGAGGCGCCAGTCACTGAAGATCTTGAAGGCAGACCGTTAACAGTGAACATTGTGATGTTTCTTATCCGGATATTTTTCCCACATGCAACATGAGGTGGGTCATAGGATTCACTGCATATGTCTTCGGTTTCAAATCGATTAAAATATTTTGCCCTGGAAATGTTGCAGTCGTTTTAACGATACAGTAATATCAATCTGTATATCTTTGTTCGAGCTTACCCGTAGTAAGACAGAGGTGCAATTGTTTGAGCGGTGTAGCCTTTGTTCCACCACATCTGTTAATGGTGTCCATGTTAAATGTTGCTGCTGGGCCACTGAAGCCTGTGAGCCTTGTCAGCAGTTGCTATGGAGAAGAAGCAGGTCACTCGATGTTTGCACACAGCCAGTACGTTGTCTGCGGTCTCATCCTGGAATGTCTTCAGTCATGGGATGGTTTTTCACGCTTTTAAATGCCCAGCATTGATTAGCTTCTCTTTTCATCCACACTCATTATTGTAATGAGGCATGATTCTCATTCTGATATATATATATATATATATATATATATATATATATAGCACTAATGCCAATGCTGGCGATGGCAGAAACGACCCAGATTGTGGCGGCAGCATGCACGCATTATTCTCGAATGAAAGAGAGTTTCACATTTTGTAATTATAAAAATTTTAAAAAGATAAATGACTGGTTCAATAAAGATGATGTCCAATGTTAGGAATGGAGAGTGAGTGGTATTTTGATCCTGTGGTAAAAATGGACTTCCAACCAAACCAAACTGATATAAAAGTCAACACAAACAGCTCATTTGACAATTTGCACTTAGTCGCTGCAGTCTTTCTTTATTACCCTCAATATTCACGGGGGATAGTGACTTGGCCAGCCCATGAATTGCGAAAATCTGTGTATAATTGACGATCAATATAACATCGATTCATCCATCCATCCATCATCCAAGCCGCTTGTCCTCACGAAGGTCGCGGGTGTGCTGGTACTTATCACAGCAGCTGTCATCGGGTAGTAGGCCGAGTACTGTACACCCTCAACTGGTTGCCTTATACACCCCCCCCGCACCTGACGTGCCAATGAGTTTAACACCGTGAGGGCTACATTTGTATATATGTCTGAAAAACAACTCTTAAAATAAGTTGTGTCTTTGAGTCTGCATCAATCTTCTCCATAGAGCGCTGTCTTCTACCAATCGGCTACACCTGGCTGCTTGAGTAGAAAAGCGACTGATTTAAATGATGCGGTGAAGTAAGGCATTTCGTAATGCTGCATGCTTGTAGCTGCATTGCTGCGTCATCGGGATTTCCACATGCTCAACAGAAATCATTCAGCCACGCTTTTGTTTCTTCTCTTTCAGGTCTGATGGTGACGCATCCAGGATGGTCAGGTACACTTTGCACTTTCTTTTCATTTCCAAACAATCTATACATTTTAATTGAATTACGGCAGCATGATAAATCTTTATTGATATCAACTTTACTTTAACTTTTAACATAAAATCACAAAAACAATACAACAGAACACATAACATAAAACACAGACAATGCGATCCTAACAATTGTTCCTGCATACGCCTTGTTGTTCGAAGCAGTTACAGATGAAAAAGGAGGAAATTAGTCTCCTGTCAGAAGTGTAACGTGTGCTTAGTGCAAATCTGTCTTGCACATCCTACTTTTTAGATTTTTTTATTTAAAAAAAAAAAAAAACATCATAATGTATAAATTGAATTCCACAAAACGATTGTTTCCCACTTGATGTTAATTCTTCACGAAAATACAATGTTATATCCGTACCTGAAATGTGTCCAAAGATCAAAAAGTTCAAGGGGGGGGGGGGGGCTAATAGTTTTGCAAGCCACTGTCCTTCATTCATGGAAAGGAAGTTATTTCCTGAATT